AGATTGATCACAAAATCAGAAGCATGATCTCAAACATCAGAACCCAGCATTCATTGTTTAAAACTGTCGGGGCCCCATTGAATGAAATTACGGTATTATAGTTTATATTATATTTTTCTTTAAACTACAATGTCGGGGCCCCTCGCGCCTGGGGCCTGGCGCTCCCCCCTCCCCCACCTCCGTCAGCGCCCGAGCGTGACGCCACTGATGTAACAACTGTTGATTGTAGCAACCCCAAAAACGAACGGCGCTTCAGAAAATACAGTGCAAGTATACCATGTTATTCTGGCAAACTTCATATCATATCGCATTGTTTGTGTTTTGAGTTAACTTAATTTTTTTGAATATTTTAAAATCCTTAAGTTAATTTTTTTTTTAAGTATTTTTTTTAAATTTTCAATGAAAAATAAATGCGATCGTTAATATTGACCTTGGTACAATGTAAATTTGTAATCATAATGACTACTTATACAGAATTTTACTATATTATAGGCCTATACTAGGACCAGGCCTCCTACTATATTATAGAGGCCTAGTCCAAGACCTTGTTGCAAATCCCAGCCCACATAAGCCTAGCCTATAATGCCCAGCATAGGGCAGGCCCGTAGGCAGGATTTTCGATGGGGAGGTGCGTTTTGCAACCGAAGTGGACCTTACGATGGGCGACTGGCTAGGGGTCCCCGTGAGGGTAGGGCGAATCTTCTGGAAGCTCCGACAAATTAGCATTTTGAGGGCCTTTTTTAATGGACTTCTAAAATCCATAATTTGTAATATCCTATTAATTCATTGATTTGAGTATCGTCTAGGGACCTACAGTAAAAGCAGAAGAAATAGAGGGTGGGGGTGAAAGGAGGATTTTGAGACAGATGGTTAATACCACCTCAGCCCCCACCATGATTGGGGCTGAGGTAAGAAAATTTATGATTATGGCACCTCAAAAATGGCCAGAATGGCACTCTCAGACAATTATGATTTTTCTTTTTTCCCCATTTTCTTTTATAATTTTAGGGGGGTCTTCTCCCTTGATCCCCCACTGCGAAATTGTTCTTTACATCTGTAGACCTACAGATGACATGGATCAATCTGCAATCACTGGAGCTGATAATTTCCAACAGATTTCAGCACATTATTAAAAATCCATACTATAGCATAATTAGGAACGATTTTAGTGAAATAATAGGTTTTAAAAGTAGACTTTTTGAAATTGGGTGGTCCAGGGGCAGAGGCCTGGATGGGGTTTGTGAGAAAAGCGACAAAGTAGAGTCTTACATATAATAGATTTCTCAAACACATAATTCATGAATATTTCATTTAAATTTTCATTAATTTGGGTGTTTTTGGGACCTGAAAAAGTAACATTATTATATGTCCTGTACATCTGCACGCCTATAGATAACATTCTTCATATTATATAGATCAATCTGCAATCACCGGAGACGATCAATTTCTAACAAATTTCATGCCACATTATTAAAAATCAACGGTTACTCTGGCAAATATATAATACAATGCATCATATAGCATTTTGTGATAATTAGAACGATTTTGTGAAATCATAGGTTTTAAAAAGTGGACCTTTTGGAATTTAGTGGGGGGAGGGGGTGCGTCCGCACCCTCTGAAACCCCCCCCCCCCAACTGCCTACGGGCCTGAACTTGTGATCGCGGTACCCGGTCCATTAGAAATTAGCAGACGCACTGGGAAGCGTTGTTCACGGCATTGGACTACAGCGAAAAATGATTCCCCCATCATTAATGGGACAGGCTCACGCCACGCTTGGCTGACTAGTTTTGATTTACATTTTGTGTGTCTGTGCCATAAGCAGCAAAAGTCTATGTT